TTATTGGCTTTCAGACAATCTTTCATTTACATTGTGTTTCATACAATCATTCATTCCAGTCACTGAGTCAATCCATCTCATTGAGGGTCTTCCTCTCTTGCAACCAAGATGCCTTAATATTAACTAATGATTGAAATGCAAAAATTGTAAACACCGAGGAAGGGCTGATAGTTGGAAAATATTGACCTGTGACAAACAGACTGGCAATTGAAACACAAAATTTTGTGCAATCATTACTTATTCACTGCAAAATACCATTTTAAAAGAAACAGCACTGATTATACACATGGTGCTCATTTAATAGATTACCCAGGAGTCAGCTGGTCGGTATCTGTGGAAGGACACACTAGAGAAGCTAAAAATCATCAGTCTAAACCAAATCAGGTTCTAAATGGAGAATGGATCATTAATTATTCCTATTTGTGTTTTATTCACTGTGCAAAAGCATTTTACTGGGTGAATGATAATAAATTATAGATAACATTGAGAATAATGGGTATCTCAGAACACATAACTGTGCTCATGTCAAATATACATGCTAAGATACATTTATATAAATGGGCATTCACATCTTGGGCAATTAACTGCCTCTGAAAATCCACTGGAGGGTCAGTTATGGGTCGGTTCCCATAACACGATAACACATAACAACATACATGTATGCCCAGAAGCAATTGTCCGAATAGAACACAGGAACACTGCATAGTTTAGAATCAAGAGAAGTATGCATCACGGTTGAGCTTTCTTCATACTTATCCATTCTGTGTGCTGGGCAAATAATCGGAGCAGTTCTCCTATATAAAGAAGAACGTGGTGTTAGGATTGGAGGAAGACTCATTAACCAATGGTAAGCAGATAATGCAGAAAGCAAAGAAGACTTAAAGCCCTGTCCTACTCAGTAAAGACTATAGCCTTCAATATGGATTGCACCTCAACAACAAGAAAAGAAACAATATCTTTATCTCTGGACTCATAGACAACATCATGAGAGATGAAGAAAAGGTTGAAGTCATGGATTTAATTTCACTTGGACCTACAATCAGCATCCATGGTAACAGCTGTCAAGAAATTCAAGTATTTTTCCAT